AGTACCCCCTTTTCTATATGAGAAAATTTTGGCGATGGACGGGGGATTAGTGAGTGGGGCTTGGGTGGCCAGGGTAATAGTGCATAAGGTACATTTAAGAACTAATGTTAGATGCTGGCTTAACATGCATTTGTATCATAGTTTGGAGACCTTTTTGTTGAAAATGTGTCAGGGTTAAATCGTATACATATACATGCACAGTGCGTTAACTGGAGTGCGGGTATTAGTTACCCGCACTCCAGAGCATGCCCATTGATTGGCTCATTTTTGCTGGGGTTTACATATTGTGACGGCAGAGAAAGGGAAAGCGACAGAAATGTCATATCCAGATGTTCGTTCATTGGTTCATTTTTGCCGGGGTTTCATATTGTGATACAGGGAACGTGCTTTTATGTTTGACTATGATACAAAAGAGAAAGAACATCAAAACACTCGGCAATCTGATTTATAGTAGATTTATCTACGTCCTCTCGTACAAATCAGATAGCCTTGTGTTTCAAAGCTCTTTCTATTACCTAATTGTGAGTGCTGGCATAGGTATTTCCTTATCAGCATTAGCAAGAATGAGAATTAACTAATACTAGCATTATTGCAATTCTGAACAGAGCAATTTCAGAAATATGTCATATGTATAATAACAATTATATTTGTCTAATATTTGCTAAAATGTCTTGGTTTTTAAATAAGAAAAAAACATGGTTTATTCATTATTATTTGATTAACACATAAATTAACATTCCGCTATCCTGAAAAATGTGCACTTTTATCTGCAAAATAAAGAATGTATAGACATTTATTAATGTATGATATTATATTATTTGTATAATGAATAATTTCTGTTGCCTTAATTAAATTTAAAGGGCCATGTTATGATGTTGTTAAGGTGGCTGAATTATAAAATCAGTTTCATGGATAAGAAAATGAAGCAAAGAAGCGAACTGTTGATCTACTCAAAGAATGTTGAGGTCCTAGCCAAATTGTATTTTGTCTTCCCAAATTTAAGCAAGACACAACATAGTTTTGGCAATTTCAACTTCAAGGGCCCTGGGTTATGTTTAAAAAAAAATGTACTATTAGACAATGTCAGAATAAGAGAGTAAAATAAACAACACTTAGTTTTGTAACCTGGGTTATGTTCCCAATTTAAAAAAAAAAGAAGAAAAAAAAGAGAAAAAGACAATGAATAAGAGAATAAGCATGTTATAAGCATGTTAATGTTTTAAGATTTTACTACATGCTACCTCACATTACATGATAAATAAACTGAATACACAGAGTAATCAGGAATTATAAATGCATCATAAACTGTCTCCAGTTTCAAAGGGAAGTTTAGCCATGCAAGCATGATAAGGAGATCGGAAAGAACATAATTAAGATGTGTACTTAAACATGGGAAGAATTTTCTTCATACAGTTGAACATGGTTTAAAAGACCAGTTTTATCATATGCATTTCATTTTAAAGGGCTAATTTGGGGTCAAAATTCGACCACATTCCTATCTCCAACAAAGTACATGTACATAAAATTAATTAAATTTTCTGTTTTGAAAAAAAAATCCCCTAAAATTTTTTAGAATTAATTTATAATAAGAGTGGGACAGAGATGGTCATTGTAATTTGAAAAAAATATATGGTATTGATAAAATGGAAGTTTTAAATCCCCACTGTGACACAAATTCCCATTATATGGACCTTGCAGTTGAATGCCCTTGAAGTGAGAAAAACACAAGATAAGAAAAGGGCTATGTTTTGTTTGTCTAAAGTGTTTAATACCATGTTGAAATGGTAAATATACATTGTGTTAAAATGAGAAAATGATAGTGTTCTAAATTGAAATGGTCTTAATTCAGAGTTGGCCTTAAAGTACAGAATTAACTGTATATTGGTAAACATCAAAATTATATCTGGTCTGGAAAACCACAACACAACAAAAACAAAACAGCAACTTGAATCAATATATTGCAAGGGATGATAGATTATGATTTATAAACATCATTCCAACATTTGCATTCTGAATATTCCTGGCTGAAAATACATACAATCTATAGTGTATCTTATAGATGAATTGCAGTGGTTCTCGAAAAAAGATATGCGAAAAAGGACCAGTTATATAATCAAGATGAGCATCTGATGGTATTATATAAGTAGTAGATGATAATTTAGTTGTAGTTAGCAATTGATATTTAGACTAAGCTTTGCTTTATTATACTTGCCCTCAAAATTTAATGGTTTTGACTTGGTGCTGTTTTGTTTTGAACTTTGAAGCTGTTCTGTTTAGGGCTTGGAACTGTCCTGTTTGCACTTGGAACTGTCCTGTTTGCACTTGGAACTGTCCTGTTTGCACTTGGAACTATCCTGTTTGCACTTGGAACTGTCCTGTTTGCACTTGGAACTGTCCTGTTTGCACTTGGAACTGTCCTGTTTGCACTTGGAACTGTCCTGTTTGAACTTGGAACTGTCCTGTTTGCACTTGGAACTGTCCTGTTTGCACTTGGAACTGTCCTGTTTGCACTTGGAACTGTCCTGTTTGAATCCGGACCTGTTCTATGTTGAATTTGGGCCTATCCATTGTGTGTGTGGGGGAGATACCATTATGAATTTTAAAAAAGCAGCCATCATGCAATTGGTATTGGAGCCTGATCTGGCTAAGCTCTGTACCGGAAGTGAATGCAAGTTATTATTGCAGCTTGAACTTTGATAGTAATACAAAATATGTTTAACTGTTACCATTCACCCATCCCATCGGTTGATTTAACTCTAATGTCTTTGGTAACATTGTGTTGGAACCAATTATTTTCGTTTACTTTATAAACTTATTTGTTCAGAAATAGGGACTTATTTACTATTCACTTTATTGATAGAACGTTATTCTTCGTGTAGAATGGCATGTTCACCTACTTTAGTGGATTGCATTCAATAATTGATTATACAATAATTGATTGATGATTTTAATGTATAATCTAAATGTAAAGGAAACAATGTACAACAGTCTGAGTGACAACAAATTGCACCCTGGAGAATTTACCTTTCCTATATTGCTACACCTTCTGCATTTTTTACCCAGACTGATTAATGGACAATATTGACATTGTGCTGTTTTTTTGTGGGTGTTTCTTTCTTTCCCCCCCCCCCCAAAAAAAAACAAACAAACAAACAAAAAAAACAACAACAACAAAAAAAAACAACAAAAAAACAACAACAAAACAATACAATAAAAATGAAAAAAAAAACAACTTATCAACAATAACAAAAAAAAGAAAAAAGGCACAAGAAAACAATGTATGAATTGTATCAACTGTAATGAGGCATACTGTTAAATGATGCAGAGTTACAGAAACAGTGGTCATAAATGGAAACAGACATCAGGTTTTTTTTGCAGTGATTCAGAAATAAATGGTAGATAATTAACCCTTATACACTGTTGTAATTTTTTTTAGTGGACTTCCTGTTTGCTTAGAAATTAGAGGGTCTAATAGTAATGGAAGGGATTTCAGGATCATAGTACTGTAAAATGAAGTACTGTCAGTATAGATTCTGGTCAGACTACATGGATGACTTCTGGCAATTTGATACATTTAATTTACCCATGCCCTGTGTTTGTACCAGCTGATTCTTCCCGTGGAACGATTTGAGCCGCACCATGGCAAAACCAACATAATGCGTTTGCTTGGCATCCGCGCAGTCTGGTCCGGATCCAGGCTGTTCACTATCAGTTTCTCTACTTGTTATAGAGTTTGTAAGCGAACAGCATGGATCCTGACCAGACTGCGCGGATGGTCTGGATCCATGCTTGTCGCAAACGCATAATGTTGGTTTTGTCATGGCGCGGCTCATTTCAGTGTGTGTCCTACGTCCGTTAGTTGGCACATCTGCGCTGTCTGATCATGGCTTACATTGTTTGCTATTGTCAGTACATATTATGAAAATTTTCCCTGAAATGATCAATAGTTTTTCCCAGAGTATAAGATGGACAAGTCCATTTAAAGGCACATTATGCCCCAAAAATGAATAAAATTTTCTTTCTTAAGAAAGGACAGACATGAGTTAATAATGTATAAACAGTTGTTTTTCAAGCATGTTAGAGGTTTATTACCTGGAAAAGTAGCTCTGAATGTGAAATGAGCCGTGCCATGACAAAACCAACATAATGGGTTTGCGACCAGCATGGATCCAGACCAGCCTGCGCATCCGCGCAGTCTGATCAGGATCCATGCTGTTCGCTTACAAACCCTAGTAGAGAAACTGAAAGGGAACAGAAACTGAAAGGGAACAGCATGGATCCTGATCAGACTGCTTGGATGTTAGCAAAGTTCATGTAGTATTTTGACTGTCATACAAAATACTAAATCACTTTAACTGTACAAAATATAAGAAAGGAACAGAAACAAAATATGATTCAGGTTACTGGAAAATAAGTAACTTTTTGGAAACTATTTTAACAGGTCACCAAATATAAAAAGCTTTTGAGACATGAAATAAAAGTATTTCTGGGACATAATGGGGCTTTAAGATATCTAGCATGGTAAGGGTTTCACATGAGCTATAATTATAAGACATTATAGCCAGTGTTAGAATCATTTTGCTGTTGTTTGTTGACAGGGTAGCCAAATAATAGCTTATACTCTTACAAAATACGGTATATTTACTGTGTTTGAAATGTGTATTCAGAACTTTGGTGTTTTCACTAAAGTGCCAGTTTGTGTCTAGAATAATGCATGGAAGGACACCTGAAGTCTTTGTCAGTAAAGCTGGAAAGTACATTATAACCTATGCTCTAGGTACAATATAAAACCCAACATAAAAATGTTTTTTTTCCATTTTGGAAGGTTATGTTGATATATACATTGAAGTACATGTTGGCATGATTCTTTGTACTTTAGGTATAAACTAGTCTTTACCGGTGCCAACAAATGTTTTGAAAAGAAAGAAGAAATACTGAATATATTTCTTCAATGTATTTCTGAAATAGTTATATATTATATTGTTTTGTTTATTTTTCAGTCGGAATCAGCTGTCGATCATTCCGTCCTTTATAAGTCAACTGCAGGCATTAGAAGTACTGATAGCTAGTCATAATCGTCTTGTCTCACTGCCGGAAGAGTTAGGGGTACTGGATAAACTTATGGAACTTGTAAGTCATTTGTTTTAGCTTGTACAACCTTCACACAGTCATGGACTTTGATATTTATTACCTTGACCTTCAAGGGCAGGACTTTGATATTTATGACCTTGACCTTCAAGGGCAGGACTTTGATACATGACCTTGACCTTCAAGGGCAGGACTATGATACATGACCTTGACCTTCAAGGGCAGGACTTTGATATTTATGACCTTGACCTTCAAGGGCAGGACTTTGATATTTATGACCTTGACCTTCAAGGACAGGACTTTGATATTTATGACCTTGACCTTCAAGGGCAGGACTTTTGATATTTATGACCTTGACCTTCAAGGGCAGACTTTTGATATTTATTACTTGACCTTAAGGGCAGGACTTCGATAATTTAATGACCTTGACCTTCAAGGGCAGGACTTCGATATTTTATGACCTTGACCCTTCAAGGCAGGACTATGATACATGACCTTGACCTTCAAGGGCAGGACTATGATACATGACCTTGACCTTCAAGGGCAGGACTTTGATATTTATGACCTTGACCTTCAAGGACAGGACTATGATACATGACCTTGACCTTCAAGGGCAGGACTTTGATATTTATGACCTTGACCTTCAAGGACAGGACTTTGATATATGACCTTGACCTTCAAGGGCAGGACTTTGATATATGACCTTGACCCTTTAGATGATCTTGGCCTTCACAGCCACATTGGTAAAATTAAAAACTTTTTTTTGCAAATTTCTGATTTACCTTTTCACCACTTTTCCCATGTTCTGGCTTCTTGAACCATGATAAAATTGTTACAAGTACAAATTAGTGTAATATGTATAATTTAAACCAAAGTTTTATGGACTAATTTATTTGGTTATTATGTTTTCTTAATAAATGTTATAATTTTACAAGAATAATGCAGTCAGATTTATTCATAATTTAACTTTGAACAGATATTTTAATGAAATCATTTTACAGGATGTTAGTTGTAATGAAATTTCACACCTTCCTCTACAAATTGGCGATCTCAAATCACTGAAATCTATGAACGTTAGACGCAACATTTTACAAGAACTCCCAGTGGGTAAGAATCAGTTTACAAATGAGCTGCGTCATGACAAAACCAACATAATGGGTTTGCTACCAGCATGGATCCAGACCAGCCTGCGCATCCGCGCAGTCTGATCAGGATCCGTGCTGTTCGCTTACCAACCCTATTGCAAGTAGAGAAACTGATAGCGAACAGCATGGATCCTGATCAGACTGCGTGGATGCGCAGGCTGGTCTGGATCCATGCTGGTCGCAAACGCACTATGTTGGTTTTGTCGTGACGTGGCTCAAATAGTATCATAAAAGTTTTGTAATGGATAGTAAGTAATAATGTTATCCATCCGATTAATTGTTTCTGTCTGAATGTAAAATGTCTATTTATAGGTTAGTGTTTGTCTGTCAGCTTTAAAGTAGCATGCCTCCAGATGAATCAAAATATTTCAATAAAATAAAACTTGAGGAAAATCTACTGAGATTTTAGAAAAAGAAGAATTCAGGATTCATATAATAATTTACATGTTATGAGCGATTAATGGTTAATGTTTCATTATGTGTAACAATATTTATTTTTCTACTGCGTTACTAATGCAGTAAAGACAGTTTTTGCATATTTTGACGTATTTTTAGCTCACCTGTCACAAAGTGACAGGGTGAGCTTTTGTGATCGCTTTTCGTCCGGCGTCCGTCCGTCGTCCGTCCGTCCGTCGTCCGTCCGTAAACTTTTGCTTTAAATGACATCTCCTCATAAACCACTGAGCCAATTTCATCCAAACTTCACAGGAATGTTCCTTTGGTGGTCACCTTTGAAAATTGTTCAAAGAATTTAATTCCATGCAGAACTCTGGTTGCCATAGCAACCGAAAGAAAAATCTTTAAATATCTTCTTTTAAACAACCCTAGGAGCTAGAGCTAAGATATTTTGCATGAGACATCTTCTAGTGAGTGTTTACCAAGTTTGTTCAAATAAAAGCCCTGGGGTCAAAATTGGCCCCGCCCCGGGGGGTCATTGATTTTCCCTATATGCATATAGTAAAAACTTAAAAATCTTCTTTTAAAGAACCCAAAGAGCTAGAGCTAAGATATTTAGCATGAAACATCTTCTAATGAGTGTCTACCAAATTTGTTCAAATAAAAGCCCTGGGGTCAAAATTGGCCCCGCCCCGGGGGGTCATTGATTTTCCCTACATATGCATATAGTAAAAACTTAAAAAATCTTCTTTTAAAGAACTCAAAGAGCTAGAGCTAAGATATTTAGCATGAAACATGTTCTAATGGGTGTCTACCAAGTATGTTCAAATAAAAGCCCTGGGGTCAAAACTGGCCCCGCCCGGGGGTGGGGGGGGGTGTCATTGATTTTCCTTATATGTGTATAGCAAAAACTTAAAAATCTTCTTTGAAAAAACCCAAATAGCTAGAGTTTAGATATTAAGCATGAAACATCTTTAAGTAAATATCTACAAAGTTTGTTCAAATAAAAGCCTGGGGGTCAAAACTGGCCCTGCCCCAGGGGTGTCATTGTTTTTAACTATATGTGTATAGTAAAAACTTTAAAAATCTTTTTTTTAAAAACCCAATGAGCTAGAACTTAGATGTTTAGCATGAAACATCTTATGGGTGTCTACCAAGTCTGTTCAAATAAACACATAAAAGCCCTTGGGTAAATATTGGCCCGGGGTGGGGGGGGGCCTATATACAGGTGAGCGACCTCAGGGCCATCATGGCCCTCTTGTTGTAATTAAAAGCGAATTGCAAGTGCCTTTGATAACGTGAAATTTGCTTCTTTTTAGTTACAATACAATATTAAACAGTTAATTACAATTTTAAAATTTTCATGAAAATAAGCATTAATCTGGAGGTGAGCTGCTTTAATGAAATTAAATCAGTCTTTAGTGGTGCAATCGCTCAACAGATTTAATGGAGTTAAAGCTGACTCAAAGTTATATTATGCTCATCCAAAGGTATAGTGAGTGAACAGGTGAAAGTCAAAATAAGTTTACATTTTGCAATAATTCCTTTCAATTTTATAATTAGCTTTGCATGAATGACAAATTACTCATGTAGACCATGGAAATTTCTATATATATATATCCATCGTAATTAACCTTATATGTTCTATTTATAAAATGAGTGGGGCAGTCTTTTTATATTTGAGGCAGATTTATATTTTATCCTAAACATTTTTCAGTATCAATTGTTGGTCAATCACTGTAATAACAGTAAAAGTTTTGAAATATAAAGTTGATTAACCTCAACTTGAAAATGATTAACAAACACTTATTTACTTACTATGTGGTTGAAATCATGTTTGGAGTCTTACGACCACATAGTAACTATGATTCACCGAGTTAATGGGATATAGCATAAAATGACAAGTTGGTGCAGATGAAATAGATAAAATATATCAAATTATTTGGGGAAAAAGAGGAGCAATAGCATGGGCAATGTATAATTAAAAAATTTTCATCCACTAAGAAACTTTATTCTTTGGAAAGGGATCAGTAGCTCCTTTCCTGTGTAGGTTGGGAGTCAGCCAGGGACATTGAATTCTTCCATGTGCGGAAGCTATCCAGTGGTTCTACAGAACCTACAGGTGTGAGCTGCAAATTGTATGACGTCAACAACCTTAACCACTTAGTCACGACTATTACACAAACCAGCTAATTAAGGAGTAAATTAAGCATATTATTCATCTTGCCACTTTTATTATTTATATAATTTTATTTCAGAAATCAGTAAATTAAACCTCAGAAAACTGGATATATCTTCAAACAGAGTGTCAAAGATTCCAACTGTATTCCGCAAGATAGAAACATTAGAAGATATTATACTAGACAATAATCCATTAACTACCCCACCTGCTCATGTAAGTCGAACATTTGGTGAAAATATATGGGTACCTTTAATCCTTAAAGGCACATGATGCCTCAGAAAATAAATATTTTTTTACCCTTCTTTAAAAGGGCAAACACAAGTTTATTTTAATGATTTAGCATGTTTAATAACAGTTTTATCTGGAGAAATAAACACCGAGTCATAAAAGTAGCAAAAAAAGAGACAAAGTAGTATTTTGACTAAATCACTGTAATGTACTAATTGCCAAAAAGCTATAGAAGCGAAAGATTGATATGGTTATTGACCAGTGAGTATTCTTTTAGAAATTATAAGAGGATACCAAAAACACCGAAAAAAGATTTTAAGAAATAAAATAAAGCATTTCTTTGGCATAATGTGCCTTTAATTTTCTGGAACAAAGCATGACCCTTGCAACAAGTATACAGTCAGGCCAGCCTGTACATCTGTCTGACCAGGTTCTGTACTGTTGATATCTCGAAGTTTGTATACTGATATTCAGAACCCCTAAACTTTGAATGGACTGTTCTAAATTCAAAGCAGGGCAAATCCATTACACAAATTCAGCAGGTTTAGGTTTTAAACTGTTGTGTAGGGATGTTTAAATCACTGAGTATTGAAAATGTTCACATACAAACTTCTTAACTTCCCTTATTTGACCAATAGAATTTTTATGCCCCCGCCATGTAATGGCCAGGGCATATAGTGTCACCCTGTTTCGTCATTTCGTCCTTCCGTCCTTCTGTCATTCCGTCATCATCAGTTTCCGTTCATTATCTTAGTAACTATTGCACGCATTCAACTCAAATTTAAAATATGGATATGTCATCATAAAATACAGGTCAAGTTCGAATTTGGTCATGGTTCGATGATTTTTGGCAGAGTTATGCCCCTTTCACTTTGAAAATAATATGAAATTTTCAGTTTCCGTTCATTATCTCCCCAACGGTACAACACATTCAACTCAAACTTCACATATTGATATGTCAAAGGAATGCGCAGGTCAAGTTCAAATTTGGTCATGGTTCAATGATTTTGGCAGAGTAAAGCCCCTTTCACTTTGAAAATAATATGAAATTTACAGTTTCTGTTCATTATCTACCGAACAGTGTTACATATTCAACTCAAATTTGACATATGGATATGTCAAAGGAATGGGCAGGGCAAGTTGGAATTTGGTCATGGTTTGATGATTTTTGGCAGAGTTATGTCCCTTTCACTTTGAAAATAAAAACCGCCTCCGTGGTCGAGGGGTTAGAGTCGATGACTTCTAACCCAGTTACATCTTTGGCGTGGGTTCGATCCCCGGGAGATGCTTTGGTAGTTTAGCGCGGAGGAAGGTAGTCTAGTACTGGTGTAACTCTCCAGGAACGATGGTTAGGAAACTACCCGCCTATATGACTAAAATACTGTTGGGAAAAGGCGTAAAATGAAGAAAACAAACAAACAAACTTTGAAAATAATATAGATACATCTTAGGAATAAGCAGTTTAAGTTTGAATTTGGTCGTGATTCAATGATTTTGGACAAACTTATCTTTATTGAATGTTGGAAAAATTTTGAACTTTCAGTTTCAGCACTCGTACTTTTGTGGAAATGTATGTAGCCATTATTTTGGCTACAAATATGAAATATGCTATTTTTAAAAGGTTAAGACTGAATAATTTCAGTGCCTTGAACATTGTATGGAAATGGTTTGTGTTAACATTGAAAAGTTTTAAGGGCTTTGAACTTAAAATGAAAAAAATAATTTGTGCAAACAAATTTGGAACTAAATATTATAACATATGAAATTTTGGCTGCATGCGGGGGAATCCGTGGCATGATGACACATTTCTAGTTTTTAACGTTTTACATTCAATTAATTTTGTCATGAAAGTTTGTAAAAGAAATTAGATTTGCACATTCACGTAACAAAACAAACTGTTGCAGCAAATATTTGCAGTCTGATATCATAAGCTTTATAATACTGCACATTTGTAATGTCCCTTTTCATTGGATAATTGTGATGTTTATATAGTTTTATATACACGGCTGATGACAATTTATGAAGAAATGACACTTTTTTCGCTAGAAAAAGGAGTTTTCTGTATTATAAATGTGTTATAAAGATTCCAGACAGTTTTTGTGTGTGCAAATCCCTTGCCTGGTGGTTTTGGTTATATATATATCGGCGGGCTGATAACTAGTTCATTACACAGTCAGCTGATTTAGGATTAAATTTTTTAGTTTGTATATTTCATATAGAGGATAGATTTTGATGACATTTGTACATTATGTTATGTGTACATGTTGTAGGTATGTACAAAAGGCAAGCAACATATCATGAAATACCTACACATCATAGCTATACGAGAAGAGAAAGCCCGAATGGGAATGCTGGGCGAGGTAGAGATGAAAAGATTCAGAAAATCATTGCCACCTACACAGTCTGTGTAAGTCATTAATGAGCCGCGTCACGACAAAACCAACATAGTGCGTTTGCGACCAGCATGGATCCAGACCAGCCTGCGCATTCGCGCAGTCTGATGAGGATCCATGCTGTTCGCTTACCAACTCTATTACAAGTAGAGAAACTGATAGGGAACAGCATGGATCCTGATCAGACTGCGTGGATGCGCAGGCTGATCTGGATCCATGCTGGTCGCAAAAGCACTGTTGGTTTTGTCGTGACGCGGCTCATTTTATATATATTGTGACAGTTTATAAATATATTCTTAGCAGATCTGATCAGTACTGAAATTTAGTTTAATCAAAATATTTTTGCTTGATTGTGATGAAAGTTTGAAGTATATTTGAACCATTCTCATGTTAGCTTTACTAGTACGCACCAGTACAAGTGTCTTGTAAGGTAACTCGGTCTTTTCCCCATTAATGTTCGGACCAACAATATTTAGGCTGAGAGGCAAACACATCAACTGCTAGACCACAGCTCCTGAAATATAAATATTTGTGCTTGTTTGTAACATGCTGTTCGTCACACTATCTGTCCATAGATAAAACAGTGGAATGACGGGGGCATCTGTGTCTGTAGATACATTTCTAGGAGTGAAAAAATCACTAGTTATGGATAAGCACCTTTTAAGTTATGTTTGAAAGGAATGGGAACACAGCAGTACATGACAATGAAATATTTTTGATAAGTAATAAGTCTAACAAAGTTAAACAAAATTTGCATCATTACATAACAAAAATATGTCATGAAAGAGAGTTTTAAATAGAGTTGGCCAAATATTACTATAATAGAGACAGGATAGCTCCTTAGGCTGTTTTCTTAGCTTAGATGCATTTAGAAAATCTTTTCTATGGAACGAAAAAGTGATCAAATAAAGGCATGAAACAGATAAGTGTGAAAATATACCTAGCTAGTCTATTCTATGAATAATATGTCCTATCCCTCCATGGGGATAACATTGGTTTTGTTTGCAAATTCATATCTCATAAACCGCAGTTCTAAAAAGGTATTCACTTGAAATTTAGAAAAGTTTTATAGATCATAATGCAAGGCCACTGACCAAGACCCATGACTGTAGCATGGATATTGACCGATTTATTTCCCAATGGTAACTTCATCAAATATCCTGCATGTCTCTAAGTTTAGATATGGTCAAGCATGTCCATAGTAGGACTATAGTTTGTAATTTTAATGTTAAGACATGTTTAGAATGTGTATTGCATTGTTATATTTTGATTTAAACTAACCTGTGTTACAGATCTTCAGAAGAGTTTAGAAATCTTATGGAATCTCCAGACAAGTGGAAACGTCATACTGTACTGAGTAGTGATTCTGGTTACAGTACAACAGATAGTGTGGATAAATGTGGCTGGTCCCCACAGGAAGTAAGTGAAATATTACAAAAACATGGTTCCTAGCCTCCTTGTTTAAGGTCTCATTGGGAAGTAAAGTGGAAATAATGTACTCCACTGCATGGTTCCTAGCTTTAGGAAGTTAAGAATGGCAGAAATGATTGATGTATTGGTTCCCATGTTCAAAACTCAAGAAACAAATGCATGGTTCCCAGCTGTATAGAAAATATTGTTGAAGCATCTGGAGAATATTGCATGGCAAAAAAATCAAAATTGATGTTTCAGATATTTACTAGATTTGCTAGATTTTTTGTAAAGTTTGGGGTGCTCAATTAGCAGTGAAGTGTGTGAATGGCTGCACTGGTGTTTATATTTAAGTCCCTAATAAAAAGAAATTTAATAGAAGTAGAGTCTTGCAGGGTTTTCATTATTGACAGATTGGCGATCGAAACCATAAGTTAAAATGCTGTTAAGTCTGTTGCATCTTGAGTTTGTAAGTTAAAAATTCACCTTTGACCCTAAGCCAGATTGGTTGTTTTAGGTAGCTTATCTGTTTGGTAAGATAAAAATGAAAGCCCTGGTCTTGGAATATGAACACAGCGTTTCAAGTTTTAAATCAGACAGATGATTGGAAAGGATATAAGCAAGAACTTGTTATATATTTTATCCAAGTTTTATATGTAAGTTATATGTACAATAATAATGTAAGCATGTACTGTTGGTCTCTTAGATTTCTTGCTTTCAAAGTTGAACTATCAAACATTTTAGGCAATTTTCAGTGTTTGCTTCGTGTAAAAGTTTGTATACTCTTCTGCTATAATTGTTATACTAATTGTGACAGTACAAGTTTTTCATCCAAAATCATGTAAAAAAAAGGAAAAAGAATTGTTAAGATTTTCAGCTCGATTATTTGAAGAATAGGGAAAGCTATTGTACCTACATAGGCGATGATGACACTGCCACACTTTGGTTATGCTTTTTGCGTGCAAGTTGTTATCTCTAAAACAACAGAAGGAAACGGGTTGAAGCTTCACACACTTGTTCTCTGTGATTATCTAACATGATAGACACAGGTCCCATTACTATGGTTTACCTTATAACAGAGTTATACCCCCTTTTTTATTGTCGAGCACTGAAACTAGTTGAGAGTGCTATCTTATGAAAAGTTTTTGTTACATGTAAGGTTTGAGACATTTTTTCTATTTTTATGCCCCCACAATGTGGGAGCATATAGCATTGCACTTGTCCGTCCGTCAGTCCGTACGTCCCGAAATCTTGTGAACGCAACTCCTCTTAAACCGGATGGCAGATTTTGCTTAAACTTACAGGGATGAACAACCTTAATGTATAGATGGTAGTAAAGAAAGGAATTTTCGCTGCGACCAAATTTAACAGAATTATGGCCCTTTGTTGATTTTTTCACTAGATACTCTGTAGAAATTTTGTGAACGCAACTCCTCTAAAACCGGATGGCAGATTTTTGTTAAACTTACAGGGATGAACAACCTTAATGTGTAGATGGTAGTAAAGGAAGGAATTTTTGCTGCAACCAAATTTAACAGAATTATGGCCCTTTGTTGATTTTTTCACTATATACTATGTAGAAATTTTGTGAACGCAACTCCTCTTAAACTTGATGGCAGATTTTGCTTAAACTTACAGGGATGAACAACCTTAAGGTGTAGATGGTAGTAAAGGAAAGAATTTTTGCTGTGACCAAATTTTACAGAATAATGGCCCTTTGTTGATTTTTTCATTATATACTATGTAGAAATTTTTTGTGAATGCAACTCCTCTTAAACCGGATGGCAGATTTTGCTTAAACTTACAGGGATGAACAACATTAAGGTGTAGATGGTAGTGAAGGAAGGAATTTTTGCTCCGACCAAATTTAACAGAATTATGGCCCTTTGTTGATTTTTTCACTAAATTAACTATGTAGAAATTTTGTGAACGCAACTCCTCTTAAACCGGATGGCAGATTTTGCTTTAACTTACAGGGATGAACAACCTTAAGGTGTAGATGGTAGTAAAGGAAGGAATTTTTGCTGCGACCAAATTTTACAGAATTATGGCCCTTTGTTGATTTTTTCACTATTTATTATGTAGAAATTTTGTGAATGCAACTCCACTTAAACCGGATGGCAGATTTTGCTTAAACTTCCAGGGATTAACAACCATAATGTGTAGATGGGAGTAAAGGAAGGAATTTTTGCTGCGACCAAATTTAACAGAATTATGGCCCTTTGTTGATTTTTAGTTTTCAACTTGTGGCACATATAGTCCAAAAAATATTTGACCTAGAGTCATTAGATTGACAGAACAGTGGCGTGTGGGGGCATCCGTGTCCTTTGGACACATTTCTAGTTATTTTTATTTTTTTTTTTTTGGTAAGTTCATTTTGATTGGCAGTGTCTTATATTCGCAGTGAGCAAATTATACAAATTCTTGCATGTACAGCACTTCCTATGACACATTTTACTTGGGATTTCATTCAAACTTTTTTCTTAGTGGTTGTCATCAAGTGCCATGGTGCATTTTACTATAATTTTGTGAGTTGGAACATTTTGATATAAGTATGTACCTTTGTTTAAAAAAAAGAGAAAAAAAATGTAATATTGGCAGAAACCTGGTGTTCTAACAATTTCCTATCGCTGTTAATTCATTTAGTTCAAAGGTCGTGTGAGTGATCCACTTTGCTTCCTGTTCTTAAAATGCAAATTTTATATCACATATTCTGTGCTTTTATATTGGATAATTTTTATTTTGAGAATTCTTGTTCTTAATGTATGTCTTTTACTTCCTAGTTATTATGTCTACATAATTCTCATGATAACAGTATAGAATCACTGAAAGAAAATGTTCAAAACTACACAGAAAGTCTTAAGATATGCAATCTATATAGTTATAAATTCAAAGATGAATAATTCTTCCTAAGTCTGTCATGTCTTAAAAAATGCCAGTCAATAATCAGGCATTGCTTTATTTTATTGTGGAATTTCTGGATCTTTTGCTTTAGATATATGTTTTATTGGAAAAAACAAAACAAAAACATGTTGGATTGAGTTAAAGTTATTTTGTAGTAGATTCATATTTATATGATTGTTTTGTATTAGAAGTGCTGAATGAAATGTTTAGTGACATGTGTTTCTTAGTAGCAGAATCCTTCTTTACTGATCTTAGATATTTTCTAGTTGATATTTATTTACCTTGTTTTCATAAGTAACACACTTGACTCATTGTAACGAAAAAAACGTAACATTTCAGTGTTATGCATGAGAGAACATTTCATTTTATGTTTTATTCTCCACCAATTATCACTGTATGAAGTTTGTCTGATGCATGTTTTTGTTTGATATTAACCATTTCTAGGGCACGGCCGACCCTCAACATCTTATTGATAGTAACAATCTTGCAATGCGAGCCGCGGCTGCAGTATGCAGGGAACAGAGAATATACACACCTGGGTGGGAACCTCGGCGCGACCCTCCAGAACCACCACAGCGGATCAATAGTCGGTTGTCTACAGAGAAACCAGAAAAACCTTCACCGCCAAATACATTGACGCCGGGGTCATCATCTTCTTCGACAAAGTCACAATTTTCGACACCTCCTACCCCACCCACTCTGTATCCAAGCAATCCCCCAACCCCACTTACACCCCCGACTCCACAGGGGCCGGGACCCGGTAAGGCAGGCGATGCCCCTACTATACTGGGCACCAGCTTGGAAGATGAATTTACAAGGGTTAGTCCATTGCAATATCTTTTTTCTAATTTCAGTTTTGTACTTTAAGCTACACATTCACTCGTCTGAGATGAAAAATATTTTTTATTAATTATGATAACATACATGATAGTATGTTAGTGGCATATATTTCACAAAAATTGATGTTTGAAAAATGTCCATGGAGGAAACTGAAAAAACAACTTTACACAAAAATGAATGTGATAAAAATTATTCATAATCTGATCACATGAATTTCATTAACTAATGGAGTACTTACATAGAAAAGGAAAAAGATAAAAAAGGCTCTTGAGTGTGAATGAGTAGATTTTATGCATGGTTATTTGGTAGATAAAATTATTTTCTGCATTGTTTCATTTGTAAGTTTATATTTGTACGCATGTTTTGTATGATGTAATTAAATCATTTATTTTCCTATTATTTTCATTACCTTAATTAGATATATATTTTGTACACTTCCTTTTCTCAATTATTTATTTTTTCTCTCATTAATTTGTAATTATTTATTAGGCTGGCTGGCTTGATTTTAAGTTATATATATCCCCCCTTCCTTCCATCCACTTGAACTGCCCCCCCCCCCCTCCCCCCGTCCGAAAAAAAAAAAAAAAGAAAAAGAAAAAATTACCAATTTGAGTCTTATATTTAAATATATATTTTGCATAGTTTAGTGTTTGTATGTCTGCTTATAAGACGTTGACCATTTCATGTTTAAATGTTAAATTGTGCTTAAGCCAGTGCAAGGGGAGCAGCGAAACCAAGAGTGGTGGCATGGCCAAGTTGTTAATGCGTCAGACTAGTAATCTCAGGATTGCTTGCCCTGTGGTTTCAAACCTATGTTTTAAAAATTAAAAATTTTATGTTTAAGCCCCTCGGGCATCAGTCAAGTTCCTTTAAACCAACGCTTAGTGTGACTGAGTTGTTGAAACAAAGTTTTTTCCCAGGATTTTGGGAACATAACCAATATCCATAGCACTGGGAATTTCATCGATGTTTTGTTAAAAATTGGGAAAAATTGCATGACTTAAATTTTGCAGTGATTAAATAAATGCAAAGAGTCACTGTCTAGGATGGCATCTTCAGGCATTTAAGCACCATGACAGTGAAGAAGCCCTTAGTTTTAAAGATTTTAGAATTTTATTTCAATATTTTTATTTAATAACTTTCAATTGGGATTGTCAATTGGGAAAATAACATACTATTTTCAATTGGGAATATGGCTGAATATCGGCTATAAAATAAGCCAAAAAAAAATCCCTGTGAAATTATGTTTTTAATCTTTAACAGTGCGAATATGATATGCATATTGAACAGAATAGTGTTTAATTCTAAGTTGTGGCAATTCGATGTATATGTATCAAAGAATTTGAAAAATAGGGGGATCTCATTGGAATACAGCCTCTTAAGCTTTTGAATTTTTTTAAAAGTACATTTTCCTTTATGTTAAGAGTGTTTTTTTGTTTTTTTCATTTGAATGATTTATTAGACCTAGAATGTTGATAAAACATCTGGCTGCATCACTTGTCATGGTTGAATGATGGTTTTGAATTGAAGTGCTTAAAGCTGTCCTGTTACATAAATTGTCATTTAATTGTCAAATCTAAAGAAATAAGGTGGACAATGAAATTTGCCAAAGATTTGATACATAAATAGTAAGGAAACCTAAGCAAAAATTACAATTATTATTATTGTACATGAAATTGCATATATAAGTACCTGAAAGGAAGTTTCAAAAGGTACCAAATATTTTCCTAATTTAGCAATTTTGCTTTGCAAAATTTACCAAACTGGGCTAGGTACTTTTCCCCAAATTTGCTAGGAAATGGCCGGCTTTTCCCTAATCACAGATTCAAGCAAACTTAATTTGCAACATTTACTACCACATTGTTACCATTTAACGCTCCCATCTAATTAGTACCCCCCCCCCCCCCTGCAACATTTTAAAGAAGGAAAAAAAAAAGTCTTACCTAATAGATTTATAATCCATACTAAATGAAAAATACTCTACATAAAACCCAACCATAGTAAATATTTTTTGTTTTTCACTGCTTTCCAGGGATCCTCAGTAAGAATTTCATGAACTTTTATGAAAACAAAAAAATTTATGAAATTTTTTTTTTCGCCCAGGAATTACAGCGTCAGAAACAGGAGTATGAGAATCGTAAGAAGGTGGCGGAACAGTTACGTATACAACAGGAAGAGGAGGAGGAGAGAGAACAGCGACGACGCGCCGCTCAGCGCATACAAGACGAACAACAGGCCATGCTGAATAAACAGCGTGAAGAGGTTATTCTTACTTATTATTATATTTAGCATTTTTTAGCTCGACTATTAGAAGAATAGGTTGAGCTATTGTACTCACCCAATCGTCAGTGTCACACTTTGGTTAAATTCTTTGGCAAGTTGGTATCAGGGAATGCTTCAAAAGTTCTCACACTTATTTGACAGCATAATACGGTGTCACTGTCCTAGGCCAATAACCATTACATCAATTTAGACAGAAATTTCTTTTATGAACTTAGAAAATTGTACATTATCCAGACTCTTGATTTACTATCAATCACTGAGAATAGTTGGGTACATTGTCCTACCAACTACTCTTTGTTTTATGTTTTAGCATATTCTGAATCAATTAGTATTTGAACATAACTTTAACTCCTAAATGATGAAAATTAAATGACTAATTGCTATTTTAACTGTAATTATTACGTTTTTACTGTCATTTAAAAAATAAATTTTTTTTTATTTCTTTGCCAAATTTCAGGCTGAAGAAATGAAAAGACGGGAAGAAGAACATCGCCTGGCCGAGGAGGCTCGTAAAGCTGCCGAGGTCGAGGCTAGAAAGGTTGAGGAGGCGAGGCAGATTGACGAGGCTCGGAGGGCAGAAGAGCTGAGACGGCAGGAGGAGGCACGGCAACATAAAACAGATAATAAGTATGTGTACTGTAGTTTAGTAGTATATATTAATATGTATCTTTACATAGATGAGAATGATCTTTTCATTTTATACTGTCTGATACTAAAAAACGAAATTTCTTTCATATATTTTTCCTTGGTAACTATTTTCAAAGGAGTTTTTCTGAAAGTAGATGATATAAAAAATTAGACTGGTTGTTTTTTGGAGAATGCCTGAAATAGTGTGGTGTATTGATATAGAAATTTTGATCTTATGATTTTGAATAGATGTCGGGACTTGTTCACTAATTTATTTTTTGAAATAACGCCTTAAGTGATAGATTGCGAATCATATTTTAATTTAGATATAGTGTAATGAGATAAGACGTGAAGTTGTAATGATTATTTCTTGTATTTTAAATTTTAAATTGAGGTATAAGTCAAAGTTATATGTAACAAGGAAGATGATTGTTATGACACTGCATCGATAGATTAATGGTCATATTGTGTTGGTCCAGATAGTCTGTCCGTCGGTCTGCCTCTATGTCCAAATAGCAATATATTCATGTATAAAGTTAACATGAAAAGATACTGTAAAAAATCATTATTATTCATGGGGCACAAATTTTTGTGGTTTTCGTGGGAAGGTCAAACCACGAATTTAAGATCTGACGAAATTTTATCTCAACAAATACTTCTTGCCATGTCTCTATTCTATATATTACAAACATGCATCGGCGCTTTTCCGCCGATTTTTATGTGGCAAGGATTAAATTTAAATACAAGCGCTGTGTGATACATAAAAATATGAACATGCGGTAAGTAAAATGCCCAGCTATTAATTGAAAGATTACTTGGCATTAGGTTATTTATTTTATTTTTTTACAAGAAATTGAAAATCCATAATTTAAGAACCCACGAAAATGCCCGTTTTGATAAAACCACAAAATTTCATGCCCACGAATATAAGTGAATTCGCAGTACATTCCTTACCAATATGATCAAGGCCATGACCCCTATGTTTAACAAAGAAAAATTAATGTTCTTTAAGAACATTATGTTGCATACATTCAAATATGACCTTGATTGCTAAAAGGCCTTGACATTGAAGGTCAAATTTAAGCAGTTATTCAATAACTTGTTATTTAGGCAATAGTAACTTATTATTTAGGAAATAGATTTTGAGTGTTTGTTGTAAAATAATGCATGGTTCAAGTTCAAATGCAAAGGATGGCAGCATTTGAACAATAAACAGTGCATTATTGTACTACAAAGCAAGAAAAATTTATATCTATTGCCCATTCTAACATGCTAATGGAAAGAAAATAGATACAAATATGCTGAACATTTGGTTTATTGATGTCCCGTCTTGACAACAAATGATGTTTAATTATTCCTTGTTTGCTGTCTGTTTTGTAAGGCTTGTCAGAATCTTAAATTTATTGTGTTTAAACCATTAACATTTCTCTTTTATTAGCACAACATGTTCAATTCTGATCTTAAAGTTGATATTGAACTTAAATATTGATGAAGAATAAAGAAAAATATCTTCTGAAATAAATTGCATCCCATATAAGCTACCTAACATTCTGAATAACGAAAGTATTTGTTTTTTTGTCCCTGTGATTAACTGTGAACACATTCTTACTGTACTTATCCTAATTACAGAGTACTGCGTGCAAGGCGACATACAGTTGATAACTGTCTTAGGTAGAGGTGTTTTTTCAGGGTTTCTTCTTTCCTCTTAATCAATCCTAGATAGGTGAACCATGCGGTGCTTTTTTGTGATTTCTTAAAAATCCACACGAAAAAACCCACAAAAAACAATAAATAAAAAAAAGCAAAGAAATATTTTTTTTTATTTTGTTAAACAGAAAGCTTAAATATTAAAAATATATAATAGTGTTAATTCTAGCAGAAAGACTTTTAACGCATTACAACTTTCTTTGCTGATTTCTTGTGTAGGTTAGGTACATTATTTTAGCTATATATGTGACAGTCATTCTGTGTGTCATTGGTTGTAGATATTGGCTTGAATCAAGCAACTTATAATGTACCAGGAAGTTTTCTACAGGATTAAATACGTGTCAACTTCACATTTAATTTCTGCTTACTCAGCACAAATATTTCTATATAAATTTCTTATCTCATACCTAGCTAAATCTCTTAAATGGACTTGTCTATCTTACATGGATTTTTACCAAAAAAGCACTGTATTGTTCAGAGGTGATTTAGTTAAATGATAATAAAATAAAACTTCTGTCATTGAACATTTAATATGTAATAATGTTTGAAGTGAAAAAAAGACTGATAAAATTTTAAAGAAAATGATGGGATATTAATGATATTGGTCTGATACGTTTTAATCTTTAAACATGTATCATCATTATCATTTATAAGTTGGAAACAAACAAATGGTCAGCAGTTGCCAAACTTTATTACAGGAGGTTCTGCCAGTCTGTTTTGTCAATGGAAATTAAATTTAAAAGTAAAAAAGAAGAAAAAAAAATCTTTCAAGTTAAACAATTCAGCTTACAAGCTTACTTGTAGGAAATTGATGAAAAAGAAAGTGCATAATAGATGGGGCTCAGTATGTTAATGAAACAATGTAGCAAAAATAAAATATATATATAAAGATAGATATAGCTCTGAACTTTGGGCCTGCCCTATTCTATCAAAATAGCAGTATGTTTATGTTGACCCTTAACCTGTTGGAACAGAAAGTAATAAGCCTTTGGCACAAGATTAAAGTCAGGCCAACCTGTACAACTGTGGCAGTCTAACCAGGTTCCCTGTTTACTAAGAAAAGATCAGGAGCAGGATAATAATTATGATCCTGATTTTATTTTCATTGTTTTATAAAACTAAAATTGATTGTATTTTGCTAGAATTGAATGGTTCTTAACTATAATATTGAAATATTGCTGATTTGCAAAGAAACAATCATATTTTATTATAAAATTGAGAAATATCGAAATAAATACAAAAAATTGTTGAATCAAAAGAAAGGTTAGTTTAAGGATCAATATCAATATTTGGATTTAAACTTTAAAATGCTTATATCTTTTAAAAATAACAATTAATAACTTGTAAAATTTTACTTGTAACATGCTATTCCAGGACCAATTTTATAAAGTAAATATATTTCATCTATGAAGATAAACAATGGAAAATAATTCAGTTTTTAAATTTGATCCTAATACTGATCCTGATCCTGAAATCTTTGTGAACATGGGGCCAGAGGCTTTATACTGTTGGTAGCTAAATTTTTGTTCAAAATGTATTTTGATTTTGATATTCTTCATATTTATATGGACTGTACTGGAAGTCAAAAATATTGCAAGTCTATTACATTAATTCAGGAGGTTAAGGGTTAAACAAGATTTCTGTTTTGTTTCCATGGTAACTGGTCATCATATATATCCAATATATAATTTCTTACCACAATCTAATACAGCTAGTGTTTTGTTTAAACTTTAGGTACATAGCTATGGTAAAATGATTTGATTTGGATTGGAGGGTATTTTTGTCTTAATATTTAATTACATAATGAGCTTTAATACTTTAGTCTGGGTTTTATTTATGGAGATTACTATAATTTGATTGAAGTGGTGTTTTGTATAATTGATAGTATTTTTGTGATGTGATGTTTTTGAAAACAATACCTTAACCAACAAAAGTATTTTTCATACAATAAACTTAGGTAATTATTAAATATAAGCAATTTTGCTAAATTAAAGGAAATCAGTTAAGTTTAGGCATTTTTATACCCCCAAAAACGAAGTTTGGGGGGGTATATAGGAGTCACCCGGTGGTCGGTTGGTCGGTCGGGCGGTCGGTCGGTCGGGTGGTCGGTCCAGACGTCCGTTGCATTTTCCTTGTCCGGACCATAACTTGAAGACTAATGGTTGGAATTCAATATAACTACATACAATGGTCAAGCACATTGAGAGGAAGTGCAGTGCACAAGAACCATAACTCTATCTTGACTAATTACAGAGTTATTGCCCTTTGTTACTTTTCCTTGTCCGGGGCATAACTTGAAAATTACTGGTTGGAATTCAAAACAACTTCATACAATTGTCAAACACAGTAAGGGGAAGTGCAGTGCATAAGAACCATAACTCTATCTAAAGTAATTACAGAGTTATTGCCCTTTGTTACTTTGCCATTGCTTTCTTTTGTCCGGAGTATAACTTGAAGACTAATTGTTGGAATTCAATATAACTTCATACAATGGTCAAGCACATTGAGAGGAAGTGCAGTGCACAAGAACCATAACTCCATCTTGACTAATTACAGAGTTACTGCCCTTTGTTACTTTTCCATTGCTTTTTTTTTGTCCGGAGCATAACTTGAAGACTAATGGTTGGAATTCAATATAACTTCATACAATGGTCAAGCACATTGACAGGAAGTGCAGTGCACAAGAACCATAACTCCATCTTGACAGATTACAGAGTTATTGCCCTTTGTTACTTTTCCTTGTCCAGAGCATAACTTGAAAACTACTGTTTGGAATTCAATACAACTTCATACAGTTGTCAAGGACATTAAAAGGAAGTGCAGTGCATAAGAGCCATAACTCCATTTTGACAAAATACAGAGTTACTGCCCTTTGATACTTTTCCTTGTCTGGAGCATAACTTAAAACGTACTGGTTGAAATTCAAAACAACTTCATACAATGGTCAAGCACAAAAAGAGGAAGTGCAGTGCACAAGAACTATAACTCCATCTACAGTATTTATAGAGTTATTGCCCTTTGTTCCTTTTCTTTGTCTTTCTGGACTTATTACAGAGTAATTTAATAAAACTTCATCAATGGCCAACCACATTGAAAGGAAATGCAATATACAAGAACCACAACTATCTTTAATTGCCCACAACCATAACTCTATATTTCAATTCTTTTACAAGATATTCTGTTACTAGTAACATCCTCATTTCCTAAGCAGTCTTGTGGGGGTATTAATCACATTTAGTGATAGTTCTAGTTTTAAAATATAAAATGATAAGTTTTGAAATAAATCATTCCATTATATTTCTATCAGAGGGTTGTAAGTGGCCAGGGTGATTAAGGTCATTGACTTTAAACCACTTGCCCCTTACCCCTGTCAGTTCAAATACTGCCAGGGACTTAGATGAAGACTTTTCTATGTGAGGTAGCTATTCAGCTAACTTTCGGCGTGCCGGTGGTTATACTCAAGTGCCTGTTCTTGCTTGAAGTAATGTACAATGGGACACCAGTCCTGAGGTCTTGCTCCAACAGTAAAGCTAGAAAATCATCATAGTACGTTAAAAGTATTAGTGAGAGGTTAAATCGAACCCAGAAAAAACAACAACAAATATTCCTTCATAAAAAGACATTAGAAATTTACCTTGTGAGAATTGTGTAATGATTTGATACATGTATATTATTGCAGACCGAAGCCAAGCCTTTTGCTAAAGATTTCACCATTAAAATAAGTGTTTTATTAATTATTTGTTCTTCTCATTTTCCAACTTGTACTGTGCTGTAAAGCTTCCTATTATGACAATGTAAATTATAGCTTGCTTGATTGACTGCAAATCAACTTTGCAAGAATAATGTTCTTCATTCTTGATCATAAAGAATCAAGATTTGCATTGGCTTTACTTGTTGTTCTTTTTTCACAATAAAGGTTTTAATCTTTATAGAGGATACTTCAGTAATTATGTTCATGATTTTAAATGTCAGTTAATATAGATGACAATTCTATGTATTTGTAGATTAGAAAAATAGGGAAATATTTCATTTTCTACTAATACCAGTTCAAAAAAAACCCTAGATAAATTGTTCTTTAGATTTAAATTAATGTAAATTCTGAACATTCAGACGTAACCTGTTAGTGGTTTGATTACACTTATGTAGATTTTTTTCTTACTCCTGAAAAATCAAGTTGTACAGGAAGTGCTGCAATGAATTCTGAGAAAGTTTTGCATGTTCTATGCTCATTCTGCAGTGAGTTTTCACTAACATTTTACTTAAATTCCATATGCTACACAAGATGTTTTTATTTACTGAGAGACAATTTTTTGGTGTTGAATAATCAAGATCAGATAACTCTGTCATATAAACATAGAACAAACATTTCAAAATATGAATTATTTAACAGCTAATTACTTTGGTATAAAGATGGTGACAATATTGACTTAGCCTGGGGCATAATAATTGGCATAAGCAACCTAGTAATCTAATGTTGGCATAAAATTGACAGCTGATCGATTGATAAGCATAGAGGCGATGCTGTTATTATAAAATTATTGCATTGCCAAATTTTCATTTTCCTGCAAAGACAATTGAAATACTAAAGGACTGTAAAAATCCTATATTTTACTTATTCTTACTGTGGTCATAAAAATACACTTTGACAACAATGAACAAGACAATATTGGCAGTATGTACATTCTGATTTGACGAAAAGGTAACATGGACTTGGTGCTAATCTCTAGTAAGTTGCTTCTCACATTGTATTATGTCCCAGCTAGGGCCTATGCCATTGGTTACAACCACACCTGAATATAATGTTGTGGGCTTAGTTTGCATTTTTGACAATGATGACCCTTTAACAGCAATTGACTGTTTCAAATTCAAAACAGGCCCAAGTTTTTTTTTATTGAGGACAGTAAGGACTTAACAGTACAATAATTAATATATGATATTAAGTAATTTTGTGTATAAAATCTGATGTAGTTAAATAGGACCAAACATTGGATTTTGGATTTCTGTCATCTGAACAATTATAGGAAAAAAGGATGAAATTTTAAGTTTTACAGGAAAAAAATTACATATTACAGGAAATAATACTGTGAAACACAAATAGCACTTGTAGGATTTTTTCGTTTTTTGCAGGTTTGCTTATTACTGTATGAGACTTTGTGCAAAATTTTATCGTAGCCTTTTGCCCAAGCTTAGAATTTCAGTTGCTCATGCAAAGTATTTTTGGTTTCTAAACTCCTGAAAATTATCAATGATGGAATGAAATTAAAAATACAAAAAATGTTGTATTGGGAACTTACTTGAAGTCAAGGAAACATTTACGAAACATGAAAAGGAGAGTATGAAATTTATGATAAGGTCGATTTTCACACAGCTTTTGATATCATAGTGATAGTGTTTAAAAAAAAATTTTCTCCTTTATTATGAACCATTGGCACCATTCAAATTTTAGTACTGCGCAGTGCATTTTAATGATAAGTTTGCTTGCATGTTCCTTGATTTATGCAGAATTGTTGTGTATTTAGTCTGAGCAAAGCGATGTTAAAATTATTTCTGCATTGCCTATCGTCTTGTCTTTTTTACAGTTTCTATTTTAAAACGAACGCTTCTTACAACTACAACAACAGTAACCATGCATGGCCGCCACCTCCTTCTCCAATAGCCAATCAGCATGAAGCTCGGAATTCTCCCGTACCCTCGCACAGTGAGCCGCGTAGTCCTATAAGTCCAAACCAACATTCAGTGGAACGAACAAACTTTCATAATAATTATCCACATTCTCAAGCTGGACCCAGTGATCATTTAAAATCCTCAAGTCCAGGCCATTATGGACCTGGCCACAATTATAGAAATTCTGGACAGCAAAGTCCTAGTTATCCTGGACAAAGTTTTAATGGACCCAGCCGTAGTGTTCATGGACAAAGTCACACTCCCCATGGACAAGGTTCAGTTTATCAGAGACAAAATTCAGGACATTACGGACATAGTGATAGAGGTCAGCAAAGTCCTGGATATTCTCCACAAAGCTTGTACCAGGGTCATGAGCAATACCGTCATGGTACAAGTAATGGACCACACAGCCCTGGTTATAGTACCTCAAACCATGAACTGCCCAGGTCTCATGCAAACAGTCAATATGTAAACAGCTACAGTGATTCTTCTACGGGTACTAACCAATATGGACATGGTGGTCATCGGCATGTTCCCAGTGAATCAAACACTTCGCCAAATGCCAGTATTCAACTTTACCAAAACGTACCTAGAGTCGTCTCAACAAATGAAACAAGTTCTCGGAATACCTCAATGTATCGAGATCACTCGAGCCAGCATGCGCCAATGAGTCCTTTGAGAGAACAGGCTGAGCCGACGCATTTAGGTCATCATAGCAACCATGAGCATGATCGCTATGGCAACCAGGAGCATGGTCGCTATGGCAACCAGCATGATAGCACTAACAGCATGCCTCTAGATACCTACCCTCACTACAGGTAGGTAAATAGCATGTTGGATAGATTCTGACCGATATTTCATATTGTAAGAACGATCATAGCTAAGCGTGCTCAATGATAAGGAAATACTTGCTGAAAATTTTTTTGACCTCTTTGCTCTTAAAAAAAGATATGAGAAGAAAAAATAATGGCTGATCAATCAGTTAATGGTTTCTTACATTCAAATCTAGAGTTAGCGCATTACTGTTGTTTCATGCTCTCTATGCTCCTTGAGTATACAGCAGTGTTCCTTTTACTGTTTGATTATTGATATATCTGAAGTAAAATATATTATGTGGCAAATACTAACACCTGCTTAGGAGGTCTGATTGTTTGGTAGAATGGTTGGCATAATTGTGTGTGGAGGGTAAGGGATCTATTTTTCAGTTAGGCATGCCTTTAAAAATCTTTTGTTTTTGCATGTCTTTTTTTATCTGAATATTTCTTCTATTTCCAGAACTAGATTTTCTTCATTTTCAGATCTAGAATTCTGTTTCCAAACGTTTTTTTGTTACATGTTTTCTAACTTTCTTCTAGTTTGTATGGGATATTTGCATTTAATTAAACCTAAAATATAATTATGTAAAGTTAATGATAGTGACATAGAAATTCATACTGGTAATGTCATATTTTATGGAGCATTTTTTACCCAAACTTTAAGTTAACTTAAACTTGGTCCTTTCTATAAGCTGTCCAGTTTGTTTTTGAATTAGGTTAGTTTTGTAGGCAAAAATAACTTTTTATGTTCAAAGCATGTAGTTTTAAGGTTTTTTTGTTCACAGTTTTTGCATGATTGCAATGTGCTTTAATATTTTTCATCAATTGAAACCCAATGGAGTAAAATCTACAGGCAAGATAATAAAAATTACAAAAGAAAAAGATTAAAAAGTAAAGGCAAGAATTAAATAATGAGGAATATGTCTAACAATAACATGCCTTTTAGAAGAATTATCTTGTGTTGTAGTAAGCAGTTGTGTTTGTAATTTTGTTATATAGGAAGCCAACTGTTAGTGCGTCAAACAGTTTTAAAGAAGAGAGACGGCCCGGTGAGGGGAATCAGCCATACAGGAGGACTGTGTCAGACTCCAACCAGAGACTGCCAGCCACTAGTCATCAAAATCATGGGTCCCCACTAACAAAGTAAGTCAAATTGTTCACTTTTGAGTAATAGATTTGAACTGCTTTGAATTGGGAATCGTTCATTTAAAGTGTAAGGTAGTACACTAACTCTGTGATTAAGAATATTTGAGTTTTTCCCAGCTAATCCGTAGGTACAAACTTTTACAGTTACAGTTTCGAACATAAGCATAACAGATTGACTAATCTATTGTTATTGGTAGTGCATGGGAAATGTTTAAACCAACGATAAGCTGGGTAAAACCCACATTTTCAAAATTCCGAATTACATCTATTTGAAAATCTAAATATTAAAAGTGAGCTACCAACAGTATAGAGTCTTGTCAGACTACAAGTACATTGAGGGAAAATAAAGTAGGAATAAATTCAATTTAACAAATTTTTCAGTTAAGTTAAATTTTTTAACATCAGTTGTTAATGGCTTTTAATGGTTATGCACAATATTATCCACAGTGGACCTATAGAGGAACAGATAAGTGTCAACGGAACAACTTCCCCTCATCCTACAGCCGGTGAAGCTCTCAATACATCATTTAACTCCACCAAATCTACCCCTCCACATGGTGCACCATCAGTCAATGGTCCAACAGATGACCGACCAAAAACTCCGCAAGGATCCGGAGTGGCTAAGAGAACCAAACCAGCAGAGAGGGGCCAGGCACCGGCGTCGAGGGTATCGAAGCCTGCTGTACGTACACCAGGACCAGCTACATCTTCACGGAGTGCGTTGCCAACTTCTAAAAGATCTAATCTTAATCAGGTAAATTGTATTTAATTTTCTTTTTCCTTGAACAAGTCTCAGATGAAATTTAATTTGACTAGACAAAGCTATATTTTTGAAATATGCAATAATTATTTAAAGTAATTATCAATATATCTGTGTATCTTTGATATTTGTCGTGCGATATTTTTGTATATTGTCAATATGCTTTGCACTGAATTAATGACATTTCTAGGCATTGGCAATCCAAATGAATTATGTGCATATATTTTGTATTATTGTACATCTCTGAAACCTTTGATATAGAAAAGAATCTGTATTTTTATGACTTTACCAGACAATGTTTTTTTACTCTGCTGAAAGAAAAAGAAAAATCTTCCCATTCATATGATACTACATGTATATATATGTTACTTTTATGTTTTCAGGATGAAGAGTTACGTAAATCAAACACTAGTTTAAAGTCAGGGGACACAAACAAACCTAAAGGGGACCAGAGGTTGCGGTCAATACAGAAGGATGCTGTAAACAATTATATGAACAGAGTAGGATTTCTATATATTCCTTCACTGGCGGTTGAGCTGGAAAGTTGCTATCACTTTGCAATGTTATTTTGACTTAAAAATCAACCACAACAAAAGATAAAATTTATCAGTGATATGATATTGATTACTACAAAAGGCAAAATCATAAAATATTATATAGCGGATATTGAATGAGTGTAGTTTAATACTAAATTTATTGAACGAGTTGAATAAAATCATATTATGCCAGCCACTGTCGAGCATAATATTGTTTTATTTAACAAGTTCAATAAATTTAGTATTGAATCTACACGAATATAAATATATAAAAGGGATCATGGTATGCACTGTTTGCTAATCAGTCTTTGGAATTTTCCCTTAAAATGATAATTGGTAATGTCCAGATTTAAAGATAGACAAGTTAATTTATGATATTTAGGTTAAGGGTTAATTTGTTAACATGTTGGTTGATATTTTTGTAGCGATCATCAGGAAGTACAAGCAGCGAGGATGACAGGAAAAGGTCGACACCAACTCGATCACTGGCGTTACAAAACCCATCATCGGCTTCATCAACTTCAAAACGTTCTGGGACAGGTATGTCAGGCACCACGCGTCCGACCACTACCACCACTGGTGCTAAACGCACAAATCCCACTTCACGTGTGACGCCCACCACGTCCCAGACTTCTTCACGTAGAAGTCGTCAAAACTCTACGTCATCCACAACATCAGTGTCTTCGACCACCGCTAAGTCTAGTGTAGATAAAAGTAAAAGATCGGGAGCAGGTATGATCGGCAAACTGTATTGCCGACAAGTTACGCTGACGCATAGTTTTTTGCATTCAGCTGCACGATTGCTTGGCTTTTGGGTTATTTTCCTTTTAGGAAGTTTGAATTTTTTTCAGAACCCGTCTTTTCTTCCTATTTGATTCATTGATTAGTTTTTTTTCTTCACTGAAATGAAACTTTCTGTGTCCTTTTTTGCATGGGTTTTCTATTCCTTGTTTTCAACTCTTGGGATGTTTTGGTCCCGCACAGTGTTCTACCCATATAATCAAGTTACATTTCAAAGGTTTATTCTTTCCTTAGACTGCATTTCACAGTTGAGACCTCTTTCATGTTACACTCATTGATCACTAAGCAGAAAGTATAATATTTGTAGGTAAGACCAAGACTAGTATATCCTACATCACCACTTAACTGACACAATATTATTATATAAACAACACATAGATTTGTGAATTACAGAAAAAATATTATCTTGAAAAAAATACTGTTACCTGAGGCGTTACAAGGGGTGATTCACAAATCTATGTGTTATTTAGTTTATTACCCCGAACAAATACTTCATTGTTTCTATAGGTTTATATTTTTTGGATTTTTACTGGGAAAAAGTACAAAATTTTCAGTCACATGGTACACTTCAATTAACAGTAAGAATAACTCCCATTGGTCTATGGAAAATCAACATTACAAAAAAAGTGAGGGGTAATAACATTGAATAACCATTTGTCACAAAGAGTGAGGTTTATATATAATCAGAGTTCTTTGAAGCTTTATCTTATTCATACTTCACTTTTAGATTTAATCCTGTGAAAACAATTTACTCATATTTTTTCGATACTTCTTTGTTACACATCATATTTGATGAGACTTCCCTATTTATTTCAGTTTTATATGAAAAAAGCAAAATGTTTGAAAATTAGTCATGTATTGAGAATATGCCAGTTATATCGCGCTACACGTGTAGAGAAAACGCTTTTGTTGTTGTGACATACATATATATATACATATGTGTACATATAAATATACAACATAATGAGCTATGTGTTGTTATTATGACCAGTGAATGATACCTCGATTTTGTAATAACGGCCGTAGTGATATTATGCTAGTTGGTGAAGTGTTTGCAAGTTGAATGGTTTATGAAGTGGTTGTAAACTTTATATAAAATTCTTGTTTTTACATTTTATACAATGAAACTCCTTAAAAACATACAGTGTAATGTCTTAAAAGCATATATTCATTTTTAAATTAAAATCAGTTTCTAACAGCAGTCTTTGTGAAGTAATGGTAAATTGAAATGTGTTAATTGTATAAAGACTGGCTGTAAACTTTGTATGATATTTCGTTTCCATATTTTATATAAATGTAAGCTCATAAAGACATTCTTGTTTTTCTTTTTTTTTTTTTTTTTGAAAATCAGTATTTAAGAGCAGTCTGTTTGGCATTGAATAAATTAAATGCTAGGGGACAGAGTAAAAGCTCTTTTCTGCAAGTTAGTAGTCATTTAAGAAAAAACATAGAAACAAGCCAACTATGTTTAAGCCAATTGTTTTAAATTACACAATTTAATTTCAGCTTGGTTTGTATAAAGCTATATATCTGATTCAAAAATTATTATTTTCATTTTGTAAAAGAATACTTCAGATATACTTCCTTAAAGTGATTGCATAATGTTAAAACCTAACTTAAAATAGCAGCTCATAATATTTTGTTCTGGAACATGATTGGATAAAAGAGAGATTCTTTCGGGAATTGACCGTAAATTAGTTTTACTGTTAATACATTTTATGAAAAATATTTTTAAGATACAGCTTCATACCCGTTAAAATCTGAGATTGGTGAAAATATTCCATTATCTAGAAATTTAAGAGTTAAAAGTCATTAAGCTGGATTTTTATGTATTTATTAAGAAATTCAAGTCTTTAAATTGTATCCAAAGAAATGAAAGTTTTCAGTTTGATTAACTATAGAAAAGTGGATAGATATCTTAAAAAAAAAATGTAAAAAAGAAATGATAAAACAGGTGTAAATGTGAAGATTTATCCTATATCAACCATGGGAACGTTTCAGTCTTTGGTGGTGGTCCCCTTTTGCACATAATTTGATTTGCATGAAGTTTTATTATTACATTTGATTAAATAAATATTTTCTATTTATACATGTATATAAACTGTACATTAGCTATAAAATCCTGGAAAGTCTCTTTAAGTAAATATTGCATTTTAATTTGAAATTATTTACATAATTTGTATCATAGCTCTTTGTGATGAACTTTTTTCTTTAATAATTTATCCAGTTCATATAGTCATTGTTTTAAACAGTAGAAATGACTTTTCAGCAAGGAGAAACATTCTCTTTAGTTCTGGGTTTCCTGATTGCTGTTGGATTGAATTCCTATCAGACTGCAAATTTTTCTCATTCTTTGACATGTAAATTATCCTTATATATATAATTTATGAATAACAGACAAATTCTCCTACATTTTTATAGTACACATGTATACAAAGAATGTTGTTTTTTTCTGTCCAGTGATGACCACGGCCCAAGTGAAGTTATTGGATGATTATAGTAAAGAAGCAAATGGACCGAACTATACGTTACGGAGAAACCAAGAACACCATAAGGAAACCATAGAACAAATGGAAAAACTGAGAAAAGTAAGTTTGTTGGATTTTTTTGTATGAGTATTACATTAAATTTACGCCATATTATCAACTTCTGCAGAGCTACACCCTCCTGGAGACAAATATTTTGGTTGCTACTAAGAGGTGTTACACTGGAGAGGTTTGACTTATTGTAAAGTCGTAGTTTAGGAATAATTGCTTTGTAACGAGAAAGCTAGCTTACAAAACTTGGATGGTTCTACTCCTGTGCCTGAAATAATGTACAGCTGGGCACCTGAGGTGTATTATTTTATTATACCCCCAAAAACGAAGTTTGGGGGGGTATATAGGAGTTACCCGGTGGTCGGTTGGTCGGTCGGTCGGTCCAGACGTCCGTTGCATTTTCCTTGTCCGGAGCATAACTTGAAGACTAATGGTTGGAATTCAATATAACTACATACAATGGTCAAGTACATTGAGAGGAAGTGCAGTGCACAAGAACCATAACTCTATCTTGACTAATTACAGAGTTATTGCCCTTTGTTACTTTTCCTTGTCCGAGGCATAACTTGAAAACTACTGGTTGGAATTCAAAACAACTTCATACAATTGTCAAACACAATAAGGGGAAGCGCAGTGCACAAGAACCATAACTCTATCTAAAGTAATTACAGAGTTATTGCCCTTTGTTGCTTTTCCATTGCTTTTTTTTGTCCGGACCATAACTTGAAGACTAATAGTTGGAATTCAATATAACTACATACAATGGTCAAGCACATTGAGAGGAAGTGCAGTGCATAAGAACCATAACTCTATCTTGACTAATTACAGAGTTATTGCCCTTTGTTACTTTTCCTTGTCCGGGGCATAACTTGAAAACTACTGTTTGGAATTCAAAACAACTTCATACAATTGTCAAACACAATAAGGGAAAGTGCAGTGCACAAGAACCATAACTCTATCTAAAGTAATTACAGAGTTATTGCCCTTTGTTGCTTTTCCATTGCTTTTTTTTGTCCGGACCAGAACTTGAAGACTAATAGTTGGAATTCAGTATAACTACATACAATGGTCAAGCACATTGAGAGGAAGTGCAGTGCATAAGAACCATAACTCTATCTTGACTAATTACAGAGTTATTGCCCTTTGTTACTTTTCCTTGTCCGGGGCATAACTTGAAAACAACTGGTTGGAATTCAAAACAACTTCATACAATTGTCAAACACAATAAGGGGAAGTGCAGTGCACAAGAACCATAACTCTATCTAAAGTAATTACAGAGTTATTGCTCTTTGTTACTTTTCCATTACTTTTCCTTGTCAGGAGCATACAGTCTTAAAAAGTGCTTAAATTTGAGTCTCTCTTAAAAAGTGCTTAAAAATGTAAAAAAGTGCTTAAAAGTCCTTGAATTTGATTACTCTTTTGAAAAGTGCTTAAAAAGTGCTTAAATTTGCTAAAAATGTGCTTGAAAATATTTAAGTCACAGAATGACATAGTTTTGATAAAAATCAACGGTTAACAAAATAAAAAAAGATCCAATTTAGTATCAAAATCCATGAAATGTTTAATCAAGGTAACAGTTAGTGGACAAATTGCAGTTGTTTTGAACTAATCTGTATTTGATGCACCCTTTGTTGTTCTTGTATAATGTCAGAAAATGTGTATTCAACAAAAAATGGTGAACAAACTAGCCATCATATTTTGAAGATTGTGTCGGTATATGTGCAACAAATATGCTTGAAAAATGGGAAAACGTGCTTAAATAGTGCTTAAAAAGTGCTTGAATTTTGGCATTGGATGTCTGTAGGAACCCTGATAACTCTATCTAAAGTAATTACAGAGTTATTGCCCTTTGTTACTTTTCCATTGATTTTTTTGTCCGGACCATAACATGAAGACTTATGATTGGAATTCAATATAACTACATACAATGGTCAAGCACATTGAGAGGAAGTGCAATGCATAAGAACCATAACTCTATCTTGACTAATTACAGAGTTATTGCCCTTTGTTACTTTTCCTTGTCAGGGGCATAACTTTAAAACTACTGTTTGGAATTCAAAACAACTTCATACAATTGTCAAACACAATAAGGGGAAGTGCAGTGCACAAGAACCATAACTCTTTCTAAAGTAATTACAGAGTTATTGCTCTTTGTTACTTTTCCATTACTTTTCCTTGTCAGGAGCATAACTTAAAACGTACTGGTTGGAATTCAAAACAACTTCATACAATGGTCAAGCACAATAAGAGGAAGTGCAGTGCACATGAACTATAACTCTATCTTCAGTATTTATAGAGATATTGCCCTTTGTTCCTTTTCTTTGTCTTTCTGGACTTATTACAGAGTAATTCAATAATGGCCAACCACATTGAAAGGAAATGCAACATACAAGAACCACAACTATCTTTAATTGCCACAACCATAACTCTTACAAGGTATTCTGTTACTAGTAACATCCTCATTTCTGAAGCAGTCTTGTGGGGGTATTAATCACATTTTGTGATAGTTCTAGTTGAATATTATACGCACAATTTACTAGTTCACAAATTTTGCAACCATAATTATCAAGTGCACAATTATTCAAGAAAAATTGTTACTGTAAAGAGTTTATTGCTGTATTAGAGGGTCGCTCTGTAAAATGTTACCCATAAGAATGTCCAAATGACCTGATATTGAACAAGAAATTTTGCTATAATGTAATGATTATTTCTATATTTACAGACTATATCAACACGGTTAAAACGAACACTGCCAGAGAATCTGTCGGAGGCATTAAGTGATGGGGTATTATTGTGTCATCTAGCCAATCAGATACGACCAAGATCTGTGGCAAGTGTACATGTACCATCACCGGCTGTGGTAGGTATAATTTCCTGAAAATTGTTTACAGTTGTATGATATGAAATATGTGAATATTTTTCGCTTTGGCATAATAGTTATGTGTCTGCATTAATACATATTAAAGGGACAATATGTAGATTTGCTGTCAAAAATTGACTTTTTATTGTTGAATATATAAAATGATCAGGAAATTATTCTTGAGATTCAGGTTGAAGAATATGTTGAAGGATCTTAACCACTGACAAAATAATGCACTTAAAGATCTACTTCCCATTAAGCTGGAAATGGCCATGTGATGCGATGTTAAACCTAATAATAATTATAAAAAAAAAAAGGCTTGGCCCACCAGTAATGCAAGGAAGTCGCCTTCTGATGTTTACATCATCGGTGTATCTGAAAAGTTAACAAGCTGTTTACAGCAAAAAGCTTATATTTTTAGCTCACCTGTTACAAAGTGACATGGTGAGCTTTTGTGATCGCTTTTCGTCCGGCGTCCGTCCGTCCGTAAACTTTTACTTTAAACGACATCTCCTCATAAACCGCTAAGCCAATTTCATCCAAACTTCACAGGAATGTTCCTTTGGTAGTCAACTTTAAAAATTGTTCAAAGAATTTAATTCCAAGCAGAACTCTGGTTGCCATGGCAACCGAAAGAAAAAACTTAAAATATCTTCTTTTAGAAAACCGTAAGAGCTAGAGCTTAAATATTTGGCATGAAACATCATCTAGTCAGTGTCTACCAAGTTTGTTCAAATAAATGCCCTGGGGTCAAAATTGGCCCCGCCCCGGGGGGTCATTGATTTTCCTTATTTGTATATAGTAAAAACTTAAAAAATCTTCTTTTAAAAAACCCAAATAGCTAGAGCTTAGATATTAAGCATGAAACATCTTCTAGCGGGTGACTACCAAATATGTTCAAATAAAAGCCCAGGGGTCAAAATTGGCCCCACCCCAAGGGGTCATTGTTTCTCCCTTTATGTATAAAGTAAAAACTTAAAAAATCTTCTATTAAAAAACCTTTAGAGCTAGAGCTAAGATATTTAGCATTAAACATCTTCTAATGGGTGTTTACCATTGTTGTTCAAATAAGGGCCCTGGGGTTAAAATTGGCCCCGCCCTGGGGATCATTGATTTTCCTTATATGTATAGTAAAAACTTAAAAAATCTTTTGTTAAAAACCCAAAGAGCTAGAGTTAAGATATTAAGCGTGAATTATCTGCTAGTGAGTGTCTTCCAAGTTTGTTCAAATAAAAGCCCTTGGGACAAAATTGGCCGCCCGGGGGGGGGGGGGGGGGTCATTGTTTTTCCCTATATGTGTATAGTAAAAACTTAAAAAATCTTCTTAGAGCTTAGATATTTATCATGAAACATCTTCAAATGGGTGTCTACCATGTTTGTTCAAATAAAAGCCCTGGGTTAAAATTGGCCCCGCCTTGGGTGTTTATATACAGGTGAGTAATTTCAGGGCAATCATGGCCCTCTTGTTGTTGAATCTATCGCATACACTTCTTCAATCTTTTTTTTCTTTACAATGCATGAAAAAATAGAATAATAATACAATGTATTTCAGCTGTCTGTCATTTAATGAAAAATCTGGTACAAATTGATATTTTGATTATTCTTTTTTCAGCCCAAATTGACGCCACCAAAATGTAGAAAGAATGTAGAAAATTTTCTAGAAGCCTGTAGGAAAATAGGTGTACCAAAGGTTTGAAATACTACTTATAATATATATTTGTTTCTTTTAATAAAATATAATCCCAGCTCAGAGAGGAAGAATAAAAGAATGGTTTATGACAGGTTAAGTTATTCTGTACAAGAATATTTGTATTCTGTATGTGTGAATAATGATCATCGAAGGTGTTAACATGTTCCATATACCAAGAATTTCAAGGTGGGTAAAAAGTAGTTGTTTTATGTTAAATTTGCATTAGCAAAGATGGTGAATTATTTGATTCTATGTGTGTTAACAGTGTAGAAAGGTAGGTGGACTTTACAAAGATTTTCACAATGTTGATTTTCAAGAAAATTTGTAATCGATGAAATAAGTGACTACTATAAGGATATATTATATAAACTGTGTCAAATAGCAGGCAAAGTTGTTTCAATTGGTCTCAAAAATAAAGGCAATTTTTATCTCCCTTACTATATAATCTGTGACAAATAACTGACAAAGTTGTTTTATTAGCTCTCCAAAATATAGGTAAATTATATGCCCCTTACTTTAGTACCTTGAGGCCTCTGTGGTTGAGGGGTTAATGCCTAAATAATGCACAGAGGGGCATATGAAGTCTTCCTTAACTTGTAACTAAATTTAGAAAGTATGCCAATTACAGTGCTGATGTGAGATCATAGCAAATCAAACAAAATGCTAGTTATTTTAGCATGAGGAGTATAGTGTCTGCAGAGTACTGCCCTCCTTGTTGTGTGTGGGGTGGGGGCAGTGGGGGGGAGGGGCAAAGATTTTTGTTGTTGCTGAGAGTTGTTGCTCTAGAAAGGTTAAATTCTGTGTTAAATCATCATTTAAATGTTAAAGTTTAGAAAGGTACAATGATCGTGTTGTTGTAAAGAGGTTCTTATTTACATATAGCCAAACTGCAGAAGTTTGCAGAGTTAAAAGATGATCTTATCCTAGATATGAGTAACCTATTCACAAGAAATATAAAAAATGATCTTGTATTGAATAATATCTTTTACTAATAATTGATTCTACAAAGAGGCTAAAACATTAAGTTACTGATTCCCATGAAATTTATCATTGACGTAGTAATAAACTTTTTGTATAACTTTTCTTTCTTCTAGTTATGATATTTTTAAAGACTATCTAAATATTTAATTGTGAAATAAATTACTAAAAGTGTTACAAAATCTGATAGACCCCTTAAAAGTTGAATTTCAAAAAGCCTGTATTTGGTGCATTTGGCATGATTTATCTATTTTTCAATCATTTTAACAAAGGTTGCTGTGTTTATTCTGCTATGTTAGTTTCTTTGTTTTGGTAGAGGAATATATCATTTATTTTACATATGTTGATATATATATTCAAGCATGGTGATTGGGTTCTTCTGTGGGAATGCTTTTAAATATATATGCAATTTTTATTTTAGACCATTATACAGTGTATATATGCTATATAAAGTATATTTTTAAAAGGTCGCACCAAAATATTTGCTTGTTAGTTATGTCTGTCCATGATCTTTTGTCATCAGTAAAAACAGCACATTAAATTCACTAATAAAGAATTATTTGTCCTTGTTCTAAGTATTTCTTAAATTTAGATGTGTGTTTAAATATATAATATGGAAAAAAAAATAAATAAAAAAAAAAGAAAGAAAAAAGAAAGAGAAAAAAAATGCATGAAAATTTTGTGTTAATTTTCTTGTACCATTGGACATTGTGAAACATTTTCCAATTAACAACATTTATTTTGATGTGACCTTATAGATGTAAATTAACTTACTAGTGATAGCACATTAGGGAATGGCGGGCACCTGTTAACAATACTCGTCTCGTTTCAGGACTGTCTGTGTGCATGTGACGATATTGTTGACTGGTGTCGGCCTGCTAGTGTCGCTCTCCTGGTGTCGGAATTAACCCGTCTGTCTCCGCTAATTGCTCGACGTGATGTCCTCATAACCTACCTCTGTTTAGCAATATTTGTAGCCACTTGCTATTTCTTGTACTTGCATGGTGAACGGTGACGGGGATTTATGTTTTTGTCTATCAAGATCTCTTATTCTTCTTTATTCAGGAACTGTACTATATATATATATGTGTCACTTTCTACTTACATAAACAGATCTGACTTTATACAGTATTTGCTAGACCTGCTTTATTGTTGTTTATTTTACGCATGGTGACTGGTTTGATTTTCTTCTGAATGTAATGGAAACTGAGAAAGTTCTGTTTTTTAGATGGAAAATGTAATGGTAGATATTTTTAGAAATTTTTATGAAAGAAAAAAAGCTTCATTGAAGCTCCTTCAAATACTTTTTTGTAATAATCAAAAGGGCTGGCAATGATGTTGACAAACATTTAAAAAGTTTTTTGAGGTACAAATACAATAGGATGAAGGTTTTAAAATTAATACACTTTTCACATTGATCCAAAATTTATGATAGGAGTTTTGGTCAAACAAATGAAGATGGAAAATGCATGTAGATGGAAAATGTTATATGCATTACCGTAATGCACAATACTTAGGTGTTTTCTCAGTTTTCATAGCTAGTGAGAATTATATAACATCTGAATGGTTTTACATAGTTACTAACTTGATTGCATTTTTTAATAGAATGCATTTTATTGTTTAAAATTGTTACAAACAATACTCCTATACTTTTGTTTATTGTTAATTTAGTATTTGTGTCTTATAATTTTAAAGAAGAAACTAAATTTCATGTGCTTCATGCAAGATGTCGGATGTTTTTCATACAAGTTACTGCCATTTTGTTTAAAGACAACATAATGTATTGTTATTGGGAGCACATCTAGTTTAGCGGACACTAGATATTGAACAATATTGGCACGATTGTTTATTTGGTACTGTCATCTCAACCGCTCTTTTTAACATATTTTTTTCTACAACTTCAACAAATTTCAGTATAACAGCATAATAACACATTTGATTATATCTGGGGTCCGCTAACCTACATTGTACTTGTATCTTTTAGTTGTTTAATGTTAACATGCAGTGTCTTTAGGTGTAAATGCTCCTCAAAAAGTTTTTGGTAGGGCATTTAGTTGCTGCTTTGTCTATTGTCTTTACATTACTCTATCTTACTGTCATAAATAGCACCTGTATTTACCGCCTGATAACTTAATACATTTGGAATTTTGGTGTTAGGTACATGTAGCATCCATGGTTTGCTAGTTTTGGGTTTTAGGTAGATCGGGATAAGGTCATCATGGCTAAAACTAGAAATTTCATGATTGTAGTCATAGTATAGCCATTTTTCAAAGCTTTGTCAACTAGGCATTGTGGAAGTATAAATATTTTGCTGTGATATTCATGTTGGACAGAAAGAAAGGAAGAAGATTTGTTGCTTCCGGGTTTCATTAACAATGATAATTCTGCTGATGTTAAAAACAGATAACGATATTTATATCAAGTCAAGAAGTGTGAATTTTTTATTTATATTTTTGGAGTACATACAAGTGTCATACAAAGTTTTAAGTGCAATTATCGTAAAATATGTGATGTGAAGATGATATTGTGCAGTCATTTCATTCATACCACTTAAATGTTCATATATACATGTAACAACATACAATTTAAACATCGAAGAATCTCATATCTGTACATAGTATTTAAAGGAGCTCCACTGAGGTCGAAAGGTCGGAAAAACATAAAATTTGAGATTCTATTCTAATAGAGAAAGTGCAGCACTTAAAATGTTAAAGCTGCACAGAATAATGAACAAATATTCTCATAATTATATTGAATATAAATTTTTTGTGCAATTCTTTGCCTGATTGGAATGAAAAGCATTGCAACGCTTTTCATTTTTGGGTCATTTTGATAATTCTGTATTACAGGGTGAGAGAATGATCTGAAAATTTGTACACAAGTTATCAATTCAGACTTATATAAAATGGTATACAAATCTCGGAATAATATTTCCAGTCTGGTCATGTTAAAAATAGTCTTGTCCAAAAACCCAGTGGAGTCCTTTTAATATTTAAGAAAAGTTGAGAAAATGATATATATATTATATATATATATATATATTATATCATTTTCTCAACTTTTCTTAACACATTAAAGATCTGATATTTTTTATACATGAAGTATTTTTGCACTTTTTTGAATGCATATACTTAAATGAATGTTTCAAGAAAGATCTGTGTTTATATAAATTAAATGTAAATAACTGGTTATATAAGCTGTAAAAAATCTTTATAAGAAATTTATAATACTGCAAACTTCCTCGATTAGAAACAAATTGAAATTGCTTCACAAATCTACTGCAGCTGTGTTTATAGATGATGCAAATGTCACAATTATCCAATGAAAAATGATGTTACAAATGTGCACTGCAGTGTTATAATTTGCTGCTATATACTATATGTTAAGTCTGACCTATGTATGTGTTAAAACATTCCAATCTACAGTTACATTCCATCAAATACGTATTTTAAAGCAGTAAGTATTAATTAACTGGTAAAAGGACATGCATCTATTGTGGTTAAAATTGTCATTGCAACCTGTCTATAGTAATGGGTTTTTCTTATGTGGACCATATTTTGTCTGTTGATAAATATTTATGTTTTTTCTACTACTTGAAGAATAATTATTTACTATTCAAAGGTTGTGTATTTATAATTCATAGGTTGTGATTTAATGAATTACAGATGAAATTTACAATTCATTTCTGGAATATACAAATTTACAAGTCACAGACAGTGTATTCATATTTATAAATTGCTGTTTGAGGATTAATAATTTTCCTGTTCTAGTCTTTGTAATTGTTGAACTGGTTATTCATAATTCATTTGTCACCTTAGTGCAGTTACAGGATAACTCTTTTTAGATCACCTGTCACAAAGTGATATGGTGAGCTTTTGTGATCGCTTTTCGTCCGGCGGTAAACTTTTACTTTAACAACATCTCCTCATAAACCACTAAGCCAATTTCATCCAAAATTCACAGGAATGTTCCTTTGGTAGTCAACTTTAAAAATTGTTCAAAGAATTAAATTCCAAGCAGAACTCTGGTTGCCATGGCAACCGAAAGAAAAAACTTAAAATATCTTCTTTTAGAAAACCGAAAGAGCTAGAGCTTAAATATTGAGCATGAAACATCATCTAGTCAATGCCTACCAAGTTTGTTCAAATAAATGCCATTGGGTTGAAATTGGCCCCGCCCCGAGGGGTCATTGATTTTCTTTATTTGTATATAGTAAAAACTAAAAAAAAACTTCTTTTTTTTTGAAAAACTCAAATAGCTACAGCTTAGATATTAGGCATGTATTAAGCATGAAGCATCCTCCGCCCCAGGGGGTCATTGTTTTTCCTTTTATGTATATAGTAAATACTTAAAAAATCTTCTTTTAAAAATATCATGAAACATCTTCTAATGGGTGTCTACCAAGTTTGTTCAAATAAAACCCCATGGTTTAAAATGGACCTTGGCCCAGGGGCCTATATACAGGTGAGTGATTGTTTGTGTAAATGACAGGTTAATAAAATTGAATATTGCCTGGGTTTTTTTTTGATGTGATAATTAGTTAATTTATAATTCACTGGTTGTTTTAGAAAGATGTAAAGCTTGTGTACTAATTCATATTTTGCTTGTGTGTTAATAATGCAATGATTTGTTTATCTATATTTTCTGTTAAATGTTTTTCTTTGTTGAGGTTTATTTGATAAATGCCAATTTACCCAGATACAGCAATAAATGGTTAAAATTGTTTCTTTATTGTCTTCATAAATATAAAAATCATGTCACATGTGTATGAACCCTTAAGGTAAGCTCCGGTTATCATATATCATTTTTGTTTCATGCTAAATATTTAACAAGTGAGTCAACCGAAAATGCTTACAGATTGATTAATTTTAATGACATGTAACTATTCCTGACATGTTCCATGTTACAACTTACAATGGTCCCCATTTTGTGTCATTATTGGTCATCATCTTTTTAAAGGAGTACTTTATTAGTTCTTTTAATGTGGGGGTTCTTCGTGATTAAATTGTTAAGGTGACTTCATTAAAATCCTTCGACACTCGCCTTGGTGGGTTCAATTTCTACCACACAGTGTTAAAACAAATCTACTTGATGTTATTGCAAGATAGGTTCAAGTTGAAATATATAGACTACCAAGAAAGACACAGTGATTGGAAGTAATACATGCTTGTAAATGCATATAAGCTTGCAAGACAGGGTACATATTGAATATAAAGGCTTGCAGGTTATTGTACAGTGATTTTGTGTATCCACTATGACTAGTGAAAGATTTAGTTCTACCATTATAGGAATCTCTTCAGCTAGCTTGCTGGAGACATCAGTGGTTCTACTCTGATGTCTGTCTGTGGAAGAGATTGACTTAGAGGGGAATCTGGAAAGCTTCACCCCCCCTTTAAAAAATGATTCTTGCTATAAGATCTTAATTTGTATAGAAAAGAAATGTCTAAAAACTTCAAAAACTTTTGTGATTTTTTTAGGGAAAAAAAGCCTCTTGATCAAAATGTATGCTGTTTAATGTGTTGTTGACTTGTTTGTTGCAAAGTGAAAGTCAAACTGTTATGATTGCTGCTGCTGCGTTGATTGTGTCATACAAAAACATTAATACATCCCATTATTTAAGCATTTTTAAAGTTATCAACACGAGACTCCAAATATTTTTTCTTCTCATGACAAGGTGGAGACAAGGGACATAATTATGACAGCAATATTTTTGGAGTTGTGTCCCTTTTTAACTTAGAATTTAGACAAGCATAAACATGGCATCTGGTGCTCTTGTTTGAAGTTAGGTAAGTTTTTATATTTATTTGTATGGAAAAGGGTCCTGGTTGCTGATGAGTAAGGTGAGTGTAATATATCATTATAAATTACAGAGAAATTAAATTTTAATGAACAATGATGTAAAAATACTGGTTTGTAATATGACAAAAAATGCGATAGTTTGTATTTTTATTAATATTGAATAATGTTCTAATGAAAAAAATATTTAAAAGATTGCAACAGAAATTTTATGGGTTTTTTGGATATAAAGTAATTAATTGTCTTGTTAAATGTATAGTGTTAACCTGTTTATATATGGCTAATTGCTGGGAAATCAGTCGGTTTTTAGTTTCATATTTTTAACTTGAATATTTGAAGAGCAATATAGCTCTTCTATTTTGTCACAATATTTTTTTTCCTTTGAGAATTTGTAACTGAACAACTATGAAATGTGTTCTATTGAAAAGTCACATGTGTTAAGGATGACCTGTAGGTCACTGTCCAAAACCTGTGAATTTATCATTTATTTTTACTGAATTATTCCCTTTTATGAACATGGAAAAATCCTGCCTTGTCCAGACTTTATCAAGCATCAAGATAAGTCAATTGTACCATTTAACTGGTAGCTCCTGGTCTATAATTTTGTCATATAGTTGCTAACATTTTTGTGTCGCCTTGAAAAGGTGACATATAGGGGTTACTTTTGTCGGCGGCGTCGGCGGCAGCGTCTGTGTCGTTGTCGGCGTCCCCTAAAGCTTGTCCGGAGCATAACTCAGTCACTATAAGTCTGATTGACTTCAAACTTGGTATGCATGCTTCTTTCAATAACCCGAAGTGCAGTGCACAAGGACCAGTACTCTGCAGTTCTTATTTTTTGAGTTATTGCCCTTTGTTAATTTTCATACTTTAATTTTGTCCAGACCATTTCTCTTCAACTAAAAAAGCTATGGACTTGAAACTTCATAGGATGATAGATCTCATTAAGAAGAAGTGCAGTGCACAAGAACCGGTACTCTGCATTTCTTATTTTTTGAGTTATTGCCCTTTGTTTATTTTCATACTTTAATTTTGTCCGGGCCATTTCTCCTTAAGTATAAAAGCTATGGACTTGAAACTTCATAGGATGATAGATCTCATTAAGAAGAAGTGCAGTGCACAAGAATCGGTACTCTGCATTTCTTAATTTTTGAGTTATGGCCCTTTGTTAATTTTCATACTTAATTTTTGTCCAGGCCATTTCTCCGAAAGTATAAAAGTTATGGACTTGAAACTTCATAGGATGATAGATCTCATTAAGAAGAAGTGCAGTGCACAAGAATCGGTACTCTTCATTTCTTAATTTTTGAGTTATGGCCCTTTGTTAATTTTCATACTTAATTTTTGTCCAGGCCATTTCTCCGAAAGTATAAAAGTTATGGACTTGAAACTTCATAGGATGATAGATCTCATTAAGAAAAAGTGCAGTGCATAAGAACTGATACTCTGCATTTCTTATTTTTTGAGTTATTGCCCTTTGTTATTTTTCATATTTCATTTTTGTCCTGGCCATTTCTCCTAAACTACATTGTTCACAAGGCGACACATCCGACTCGCGGAGTTCTAGTTAGAAATATATAGATTATACTGTGTTTTATTTCAGGACCAGATCTGTGAATCTAGTGACATTTTGGCAGAGA